GTCAAACGAAAGCTCTTAAACACTAAATTAGAGCTACGTAAGTGAGAGGTACTATTATTATCATTTTGGGTAAGATCGTGTGCACAGGCCACATGACAGAGCGGGGACTGCCGTGTCAGGCTGGGTGGGTATGCCTGTTCTCCCTGGTTCCAGGGGCAGGTACTCTGCTAGCTTTCTCTGCCCCAAACCTCGCTCTCCCACCCCCAGGTCCGACGTGGTGGTTCTATGCTTCTCCATCGCCAACCCTAATTCCCTTCACCATGTCAAGACCATGTGGTACCCCGAGATCAAGCACTTCTGCCCCCGGGCACCTGTCATCTTGGTGGGCTGCCAGCTGGACCTGCGCTACGCCGACCTGGAGGCCGTCAATAGGGCCCGGCGACCCTTGGCTCGGTAGGGACGCTGGTGCCTAGGAGGAGGCACTGAGGAAGTCAGAGGGAGGGGGTGTCTCCATGGCTCCCTGCTGAGCCCCGAGGGAATCCACTCAGCCTTACATCTCTCCCTTCATTTGAAGCAAGTCCGTGTAGGGAGCCAAGAGTGCTCCGTCTTTCATTCACTCATCTATTCCTTCATCTCTTACACACTGTGTTTGCAATACTGAGCAGCACGAGGAGAGAAGGAGAGAAGCAGTTTTGCATAAAAGGAGCCTATCATCTTGCTGGGAGATGAACTTAACACATTGCGGACGGATCAGGAGAATTCTCGTGTTTTCTGTTCTAAGGCTTGTGGCCAATCACGAGAATTCTTTAAAAAGATAGTAGCTTGTAAGGACATGTAACAAATACCTTCAAAATGCAATGGGTATTTAATTTGAAAGCGTGCCGTTAACATTTATGTAAAACGTTTTTTGTACTCGTTCCATAGAAACTTATCTGGCCACTGGGTAAAGCTAGCAATAAAACTACTGGCCTGCAATGTGTTAATATGAGAACATGTTAAAAACCAGTGTGGAAAATTGCATGCTGCCTGCCAGGGGTGGGGGGGTGGGGGAGGGTAGTAGTGCTAACATTACTTTGGGCGGGAAATCACCGGGGCCTGACAGGTGCGGAAGGCTCCCTGGAAGAAGAGGGGACTGGAGGTAGGCCTTGAGGGCCGGCAGGACTTGGTCGGACAAAGGAGAAAGGGCAGGGATTCATTAGGATTGAGCAGGGCAGGGGTGAGGCCAGGGAGAGGCTCCCCCGCCCCCCCAAGCCTGGTGAAGAACAGGCAGGCCCTAGGGACCTGCCTCCCCCTGCCCGCCACCCTCCCCAACATGACTCTGCTTTGCCCTCTTGAACGTCCAGGCCCATCAAGCCCAATGAGATTCTTCCCCCCGAGAAGGGAAGGGAGGTGGCCAAGGAGCTGGGCATCCCCTACTATGAGACCAGCGTGGTGGCCCAGTTCGGCATCAAGGACGTCTTCGACAACGCCATCCGCGCAGCCCTCATCTCCCGCCGCCACCTGCAGTTCTGGAAGTCCCACCTCCGCAACGTGCAGCGGCCTCTGCTGCAGGCACCCTTCCTGCCCCCCAAGCCCCCTCCCCCCATCATCGTGGTGCCCGACCCCCCCTCCAGCAGTGAGGAGTGCCCCGCCCACCTCCTGGAGGACCCGCTGTGTGCGGACGTCATTCTGGTGCTGCAGGAGCGGGTGCGCATCTTTGCCCACAAGATCTACCTCTCCACGTCCTCCTCCAAGTTCTACGACCTGTTCCTCATGGACCTGAGTGACGGGGAGCTGGGGGGCCCCTCGGGGCCAGGGGGCCCCCGCCCAGAGGACCACCGGGCTCACCCTGATCCACACCACCACCATCACCACCACCACGGCCGGGACTTCCTGCTCCGGGCCGCCAGCTTTGACGTGTGCGAGAGCGTGGAGGACGGTGCGGGCTCGGGTCCCGCTGGGCTCCGGGCCTCCACCAGCGACGGGATCTTACGGGGCAACGGAACAGGGTACCTGCCTGGGAGAGGCCGCGTGCTGTCTTCCTGGAGCCGAGCTTTTTTGAGCATCCAGGAGGAGATGGCAGAGGACCCACTGACCTACAAATCCAGGCTGATGGTGGTGGTGAAAATGGACAGTTCCATCCAGCCGGGGCCTTTCCGGGCTGTTCTCAAGTACCTGTACACGGGGGAGCTGGACGAGAAGGAGCGGGACCTCATGCACATCGCCCACATTGCCGAGCTGCTTGAGGTCTTTGATCTGCGCATGATGGTGGCCAACATTCTCAACAACGAGGCCTTCATGAACCAGGAGATCACCAAGGCCTTCCACGTCCGCCGGACCAACCGGGTGAAGGAGTGCTTGGCAAAGGGCACCTTCTCAGGTAGGGAATGTGCTTAGGAACTCGTAGCCAGGAGGCAGAGGGGTGCCCTCCCAGTGGCCTTCTGAGGAGCCCGGGCTCCGATTAGCGCTCGGCTGCTGATGCCCTGCGAGGCGCTGGCTCCGCCTGGAGCCTGAGCGTGTGGTCAGGTGGTACGTCCCAGCTGTGGCTTCGGAAGGAAGCGTGTTGTCTGGGTGCGGGGTCGACCCTTGGGGTTGGTTGCCCCACATTCTTTCACCGCATCCTCACGTGATGCTTCGTCTCCTCCTGGGCAGATGTGACCTTCATCCTGGATGACGGCACCATCAGCGCCCACAAGCCCCTGTTGATTTCCAGCTGCGACTGGATGGCTGCCATGTTTGGGGGGCCGTTTGTGGAGAGTTCCACCCGGGAGGTAAGGCTTCTTTGCCTCTGAGATGTGTCATTTAATGGTGCTTTCCTCAGCATTCACGAGGAGATGGGCCTGAGGGAAGTTATGAGGGTGGTTCCCATAGCCAGGATTCCCAATA